GGCATATCTGACCCAAAGATCAAGAAGCAGAATGCATTGCTTTGTGGTCTTGAGACTGCTACCTAGTACTTCATATTCAATACCATGCATTCATGAATCAGCATGGAAGTATCAACAAGACACACTCCAAAAAAACATGGACATTCAGAGGAAGGTTTAGGAGTCCCTAGTTTAAGTATGTTAAGTAAATGTTTAAAAAGCCAATAAGAGAATTTGTGGTGATAAAAAAATACCTAGCACTTACAGTGTGTTACATTTGAAGTGCTTCACAAGCGTTTTGTTATGTTAGAGAAGTAGCAAAAGAAATCACTAGCCGTAGTTTTGCTATTATAAAACAAAGGTTGGATGGCTAAGAAAAGAAAGGCACTGACCTGAACCTTGACAATGAAATTATTTTTTTGTTTCAAATTAACTGATGCATTCACAACCTGTTTGCTACCTTACAACTTTGCACTTGTTTTCATTTCTGACTACAAGCAAAGCACAGATATATCACAGAAGTGGCTCAGTATTTTGACCAAAAGAGAAAACAGAAGCATGGAAAGCCAATGAAAAGATAAGTTATGTGAACTTAGCAAGCATAATTTTTTAGCCTGAAGCAATGTTAGTCATAACAGAAAACTCTGACAACTTAAAATGTAGTGCTGTATCATTCCGATACATTTGTTTTGGGTCACCTAGTAAAAATAGGCAGCAAGCACATATAACTCATTTTCCAAGGAAAATAGAACTATAGAATAGTTAAGTTGAAAGGGACCTGGACCCCCTGAGTCAAACCATTCCAGTCTGGTACTTGTCTAAGCTGCTCTTTCATTGAGAAATTCACAATTTTTTCTTTGGTGTATATTGCTAAGCCAATTGGAGTTCACATTGATGACAATAACGATGAAAACTTTGGGTTTCACTAGAACTTCTACATGAGTCTCTTCCAGCTCATTTATACTGATGAACTGAGATCGCATAAATTATTTTAATTCACACCCCCCAATCCTTAGGAATCATTATAAAACACTACATCACAGATGATCTTCTCTGCCCCTGTCCTTCAAGATAAACTTGTTCACTCTAATTTATACATAATAGGCCATATATAGGCAATTGCAGCACTTATCCAAACTAAGTCAAAAATGAACACTTTTTTAAAAGGGCTCATTTTCTCTCAGGAGCTGCACGAGAACCACGATTTAATAGCGACTGCAAGACAGTAAACACACTTTTCTATTACTCTGTATGAAACCCTGACACACACTTTTCCATTCCTTTGGCTTCTTTAACTAGATGCTTCTTAAACCAAGATTGACATGAAGAACCACTTCCACTGATCTTTTACAAAGCACTCTTCAGCCAAAAATCTCCTACCATGTTATAAGCCTTGGCTTGTTAGGCTTCACAGAACCCCTAAAAATGTATATCAGATTTACACCTGAAAAAAAAGTAGCCCCAAGAGACTATATGACTTTTCTAGCCTTATAAAACAAGGGGGTAGAAAAAAGAGAGCAGAGTTAAATGTGGCTAAAAAAACCCAGACCTAACTCTGAACCTCCATACTCTATGACTCCCATTCTTTCCCTTATTTTCATTTACCAGCTATAACAGCAGGACTCCAAAGTCTATTTTCTGTGGTAATAGCAGACAGAGAACCTGTTATTAAGAGGTAGCATAAGACTCAAAACCTCTTCGTTCACTTCAAACAGAAACTTTTCAAAATTGGACGTGGAGGGAGGCATGTCCAGTTATTGATCAAAGCACAACTTATCAACATATGTTGCCAGATTCTCTCCTTATGTAGAACTTCACCCCAATTAATCTGTTGGTTTTTTACAGGTATAATCCACACCTTTTGTGCAACTACAGCAGGGAAAAGAAGCCACTGCACACTGGAGAATCTGCTCTATGTGTTATCAGCACAGATAAGCTAAACCAGCAGGTAAAGAAGTCAGCTCTGAAAAAGCAAGAATTACTTGGGATCCAGATCCCATTAAACCAGCTCCTTCACACACACAGCTACTCCTGCCAACATACAAGGAGTTTGCAGTACAAGGTGTCCAGTTCTGCCCCATCTTTAAATCACAAATATGTGACAGATCTTCAAATACTACTAGCCAAATTGAAACCAAGGTGACACCACAAGAAATCATCCACCAGAAGAATTTCTTGCCTGAGTCATTAACCTCAGATGATCAAAAAACTCCTCAGGAAGAGCTCTGCAAAGAGGATGTTATTGCTGCACTGAAAGAAACCTACATAAATATAAATAAATACTCCCATTCTGTTGCAGTAACATCTCTGTTTTTCTGCTTCCTTGTGTTGTTGTCATTGACAATGATGACCATCACAATCAGACACTCTGACAACAATTGCCAAAAGAAATAAAAGTGATAAGGACTAGCTGTTAAAAGTGTCTAGCCACCCTAGGGGAGGGAGGAAAAACCTCTGGATATACAGCACGTAGCCAGACACTTGTTTATAGTCTTGACTACCTAGTGTTTACTTTTCTCTCTCTCCATGTTAGGAGTTCTGATTCCTTTCTCTCTGTATGTGAAACAGGCAACAATCCTGACATATTGTCTCTGCAAAGCAGATGTAAATGGAATCAACTTCATATTTAAAGTGAGACAAGGTTCTTTCAGTGAATCTGATATCTTTTATTAGACCAACTTAAATAGTTGGGGAAAACAATTTAAAGTGAGAAATATACAGTTTTTTACAAAAGACTTTGCCCTCCCCCAGGTTATACATTACGCTCATTCCTGTGATACCTGAACTGTCTTCAAAATACAGAGCAGGAGTTTAAATTTTGAATTTTGCCATAGTTTGGCAGGTCTTGCAGGGTTTGAACAATTTCCCAGGTCTGAGCATTTAGCCATATGCTGCTATCACTGCATTAAATATTCTATTCCTATGGTTTCCTGGGTAAAAGGGAAGATACATGCCAAGATATTTCTTTCTTCTCAGGACAGAAGAAGAGATAACGAGTTTGCCTGGGCCTGAAAGTTTTAGGGCCAGAATAATCACAAAATGAAAAATTTCTCAGCTGCAAAGATTCAGGTTATGAGGCAACCAGGGTATGGGGCCTTCAGGCATGAGAAGCAAGAAAAGTTACATCTTACCTCCCATTTCTAAGACACTGATCTTAGTACAAGAATCAATACTGATTACACTAATGCCCTTCAAGGCATGATACTATTGTTATTCCATTGATTATAGCAAAATCATTATCTATTGCTGCCTGTTCTAAATAGTGTATATTTACATTTATTTATCCAGGCCTTTCCTTCATTCAGAATGTCCCTTAAAGGGTTCATGCACATACATGCCTGTCAGCTAGTTGGAGTGGGGCAGCTCTTGCTTCAAGAGCCCTGGAACCAGAACTGCATTCATTATGATACACTCATCTCAAACTGAATCCCTGGGGTACATTAGCCTCCATTTCAATCTCAAATTTTCTAGCTAAAACACTGTGTAATTTATATGCTACCAAGATTTTACTTAATTTTCAGAAGCTGTTGCAATGAAATACATTCACCCCCACACCTGTTAAGTAAAGAGGAGAAAAATACATGTATGCTATATAATTTGATGGTTCAGCATCCAGTTATGATGCACACAAGCAAACACTGAAGTTACATGGTTTCCATAGTGACTATCTCATTGAATTTATCTATTTTTGGAGTCCCATCATAGACCATAAATAGAAAGGTCTTAGACTGCAAGTGCTCTGCAATTTGTGACAGCTGCCAGCTACAAAGTGCGGGAGGGGAAAGTGTTACTTTTCCACTTAAATAGTTCTGGACATTTTAAACAAGTGCACCAATAGGATTTTTTTAGCTTCACAAATAAGTTAAGCCAAACCATTCCTAGATTTTATTTTCATCTATTTGCATTGGTTGGCATCATTGTATCGGTATAAGGTGTGATCCTACAAATATATAGTCCTATATTCTAAATTCTTCCATTTTTTATTTTGCACACTAAATCTCTGACCTGATAGTGATAAAAGTAGTTGTTAAAATAACGTTATAATTGCCATGTGCATGTTATTCTGATACTGCATAATGATTATTGAGACTATCCCTTTCCTGCATTTATTAAGGGATCACATTGTTTGAAAATCAGTCAAAACAATTTTCAAAATAATTACAATTTTCATTTGGGGCCTGAGTTGATGCAAAAGAACACCCCCACTTCCCCATTTTCTAATCTTTCTCTATGACTAAAAGTTCCTCAGCTAAAACTTTTGAGAATCCTCATATTTCAATATTCTTTTCCTAACATTGCATAAAGGACATTGCTCAGACCTTAGTCCTAAAAAAACATTGCTCAAAAGGAAAAAGCAAACTGTGTCTCCATAGTCACAGTGGTAATAAATGCAACATTTTGAATATTTAATTAGTCCTTGATTCACAACTCACTGTTGTGACATCGTTGTGACTATCACATGCTAAGCATATGCTTAAATGCTCCCCTGATTTAAAGCCTATATTCTGTTCCTTTTATTAGGAAAAGCCTTCAAAGAAGTCAACAGTGAATAAACAGTAAAACCAAATGTAAACTTGTGTCTTAAGATGTCATCACATTTCCACCTTTTCTGACACACGACTTCTTGCTTAACATCTGGTTGTGATGACATTGGATTTCATAGCCATTTTGATTCCCCACATGAGGTATGAAATAAAACATTTTTGCAAATGCAGCCCCCTGAAAGAAGTAATGGTACTGATGTACAGGAAGTCAAGAGGAGTTTTGCCTATTTTAAGATTTTATATCAGAGCTACCATCATGATCTCCAAAAAAGATTTGAGGTAAGGTTTAAGGAGACCAGATAGATAGATAGATAGACAGATAGATAGATATGGATTCAAGGAAATATATAAACATTAACACATAAATTACATGCCACTGGCAAGTTGTCCAGTGAATAATATAAAAAAAGGAAACAAAAATGCAGGATTCACTTTGGAAAAGCCTGACAAAAACAGACTCCGAGCTGATTTGCTCACCTTTGGCTAGTGTCTTCATTCCTATTAGATCTGGCACAGTTAAGCAAGTTGTGCCTTCACCTAGCAAAGCGTCGTAAGATGCAGTATCAGGCTTGATCTGCTCGCTTTCGACTGATTCACTACAGTTCATCTGTGGCTGTTCACCAGTGTGATTCTGAACAGAGAAAGTTAAGGGCTGATCAACCTCTTCTGTGGCAGGAGAGCTGTTAACTATGTCAAGCCAGGACTGCCTTTCTGGATAAATTACTTTAGACACCAAGGAAGAAGAGGATTCTTGCGACTTCACGGTGCTTTCCAGGGAGGAAAGAGAACAGGATGCTTCACTAGACAGTGAGGAGGCCAAGGAAGGCTGTTGCTGAGCCTGTTTTCAAGAAACAAAAAATTGAGGAATAAATAAATAATCACCCAGCCTTTCCTCTCATATGATAAGCAGCAAGAGAAACATGATGTCAAAAATTATATAGTTTTGCCTAACATTTCCCAAAAGCAGTGTACTTTCACAGATCAGCCCCATAAACACTTTCATACACCCAAAACATCACATGTTCTATTGGCAATTTAAGCATATGGCTTTCAAACCACTTCAGGCCTCTTCTCTAATCACAGAACTCCCTCTCTGGTTACAGCTACCAGTTGCTTTTCACTGGGATGACAGCAGCAGTGTAAATCCCCAGGTAGATGCGCCAATCCACGGTTTGCACTAGGGTTACATGAATTTCAAGTAGAGGCAAACTTCACTAATACAGAGCTTATATTTTAAGTATTCCTGGTGTCTCTCTCAGTATATTTCAGTGCTATCTCTGTTCCAGCCATTACAAGTACCAGCCTTGCATATGTTTTAATCCTCATCTATCATAGGTATTTGTGCTAGTTCAGCTACACTAGTTCAAACTCAAGGTACTATCTTAGGTCAGATGTGTATTAATCAATTAAATAAAGAGTTAGGGAATGAACAGTTGTGAAGGCTACAGAAGACACAATGTTATTTAGGTATGTCAAGTCTAGAGAGGAGTGTGAGGAAAGTTAGGAGGAATTAGCCAAGTTGTGTGAATGGACAAGTAAAGTCCCAAAAAATATTGAAGTAATTTACATAGTACAGGGAAGGGAACAAATGGAGGAACTTGTGTCCATTACATTTCTTGTAAGGTTCACAGTTATAATTTAACTGCATCAGCTCAGGAAAGGAACCTGTAGACAGCTCAATAACTAGTTCTCCTCAACATGCATCTAGAATCTAAAAAACATAGATGCTAAACTGCACAAAGAATGGGGATGGTAAACCAATAGTGCAGCCTCATCTTGGATTCTCTATGAACATGTAAAAATTGTGACCAGAGATTGAAAAAATGGATTTTTAAAAAGATGTTTAAGAGGAGCTCTGAAAATGCATGAAGTTACAAATGGTATTGAAAAGGGGCCAGGTTTCAAATGTATTTAAACCTCTGAAGATGAAGGTAAGCTCCCTGGCCCTAGCTATAGTACGTATTTGTATTACTGTAACTACCCTCATAGTTGGCCTCTCACAAGAAGCTGACACACCTACTTGCATCATCAAGGACCTAAATACCTTTGAAAAACTGAGCCAAGGTAGCTCAGAAGCTTTTGTTCTCCCTGCATCATAACATATGAACAAAGGGACATTCAACAAAAATGAAAAGGTACACTTTCCAAACTGATAAAAGGAAAACACTTTTTTTCTGCGCAATACATGATTAGAACATGGAATTGCCTCAGCATATTATTCAGACCTAGAACTTAGCAAGACTCAAAAAAGGACTGGATGATTCATATTATTTTCTTAAAACAACAATATGCCAGAATTGCAATAGATAATAACAAAAAAACTATTAAAAGGCATATAAAACATGCTGCTGTAGGGCTTAAAAAAATGTCTATTAGAAACTAGGCTTATTTCTCATATGCCTGTAGTATGTGGTACCCTTCATCTGCCTAGAAATACATGTAGGAATAATACATGTTCTTGTGAAAAATCTGATACAGCACCCACCTCCCTCCTGCTTTCTCACTTATTGTATTCTAATTGTGTACTCCACTTCATACTCTGCTCTATACTGTCTTTTCACACAGTCTGATGAAGTGAACTTGGGTTCACGAAAGTTTATGCTTTATATATCTTAATTAGTTAGTCTATAAAAGTACATATCTACCCTGCCTTCTCTCTCATACTAGCCACTGTCAGGGTCAGAGTATTAGACACGATAGGCTGCTGTTCAGATCCATCACACCAGGTTCTATATTCTTAAAATGTATGTAGAAGAGATATTTTAATGAATAAAAGAGGACATCAAAACTGGGAGCACCAAAAATGACTCAAGTTCTGTTGCCAGGGAAACCTACTTGCTAGGCAAAGGCAAAAATAAGCTTATCCTTAAAAAACAAGGCCAGTCTACTGTACATTGATAATCTATACATTAACAACACAGTTTTAAACCAAGTGTGACAACATTTTGCATTATGCTACACATATTTCTGCAGTTCAAAGCTGCTGTAACATATACTACCTCCTTCAAAAATGAAAAAAACCCCATCAAATACTACTTTCTCCTGTTTAGTTATTAATCACTGCAGAAAACGTGGAGTGTTTAGATCAGACTACGGGTCACTGGCTCCCTGGAGCAAGCACAGCAGGCAACTGCAAAAAAGGTATATTTTAAAAGCACTCTCTCCTGACCCGACTGTTAACAGAATGAGGTTATGTACGTTGCAATTATGTCCACTACAATACAGATTGCAGACACCTATTTTCTTAAGGAAAGCTTTACAGCTGTATCATGAAAGCAAAAGGCAAGGAAATAATGTCACAACATGAATCAATTAGGACTAGAAGCCCCATCACATAGAAAACTGCCAATCAGAAGATAAGGCTTGTTCCCCTATTCCCCAGAGCTCAAAACAATGAGACAACCTGGGAAGTATTTGTATAGCAAAACAGAACATCTAAAATATAAAAGGTCAGGCTCGTGAGATATTAAATTTATGAATTTAAATGCTTAGCCAGGAATGTAAGTAGGGCAGAGCAGCCAGAGCAGCTGCCCCAGGTCCTGACCTGGTAGAGGAAGAGCGAAGGGGCACAGAAAAAAGCTGGTCCTGCTGCAGCCACACACAGCTGGAGGTCACCATTGCCTCCATAGCTAGGGACAGACTTTACACATAAACTGGTTTAAGTGATTAGAAACTGGTTTACACTTGTACCTAAACAGATGTTCAGTGCACATAAACAAGTTTTAAAATGGCTGAAACCAGTTTGAGATAAACCTGGTTGAATGTAGTATCAGATTTAACTGATTTGAGTCAAACCAGTTTATGCAATGTCTGCCCCTGACCCCTTGTTGATTTAAGCTTTAAATCAGAGTCCCCCAGCATCCCAGCATGCTCTTTGGGCTGGATGGGGCTCTCTGCTCTGTTGGCCCCTCCCCTCTGCTCCCTGGCTGACATTTGCAGCTCCAGAAGAGATTTGCAGACACAGCAGGGTCTGCTGGCTTCCCTGTGCCCTACCCTGCCCTTGCTGCTCAAGCAAGAAATCTCTTCTCCCTCCTTCCCATCTCCCACAGCAGGGACCCTATCCCCATGGATCCTTAGATGGGCAGCAGCATGTGGTATGTTAATGCCAAGTGGTGTCTGTGTGTGTCTCTGTCTCCAATTTGACTGAGACAGGCAGGAAGACAGAACAGGGCTTTTGGAGCTAATCAACAGATGCTGTTTAAGAAGTTTGGATGGAGAGAGGCCATTGTTTTACTAATCAGGTGATAAAGACTCTTATCATCTCCCTGCTGGCTTGCTTGTCTGTCAGTTTGCTGCAGACAGTATGACAAAGCATGGAGGGAGATTGAAAAGCTCCATATCAATAGATGCATGCACTGCACCAGTGCTAGCCCAGGGCTGGGAGCTGACAATTCTCCCGCCTCTTGAGCAGCCACTGGGGAAAAGCTCCAGACCATGCAGGCAGACCTCCCTAATGAGAGAGTCCTGCCAGGACCCAGCCAGACCCCCCTCAGCTCAGCTCTGTGCAAGCGAAATGAGGGTTGCTGTAGCACTCTCTGGCTTCTAGCCTGAACCACTGCAGGCATTTGCCTGAATTTCCTCAGTCCAGAGAGAATGTCTGTCCAATTTCCAACCAGTTCAGCCTAGCCAGGTTAGACTAACCTGCAAAGATTGAATCAATTCAGGCTCAGGCTTTTTGAATGTCTGTCCCTAGCCCACGTGTTGCAGCTGCCCCATTACTACGCGTCTTTGCTTCACAAGGAAGGTGCCAGATGTTACCTATGTTTTCTGACATTAGCCCATGTAAAAGAATTCTATATATATAAAGGGCTTAGTCTGTCTGTCTGTCTGTCCATAACGCTTTTGGCCAACTGCATATGCACTGCTGAGAGGGCAGGCAGCAATTGGCTGCGTGGAGCCCCAACTTTGTGCTGTTACTGGGCAAGTTTGTGGTGGCTGCAAATACACATCGGCTGCCTGAGCAATGGGGCTTCCCCCCAGCAACCTGTCTCCCTGCTTGAGGGCAAAGGGTGGGGATTACAGTGCCTACCTTGCTGTCCGGCCCCAATGCCCCCCCGGACAGCCAGCAGGGACGGGGAAGCGGAGGACAGGGAGGGAGGCAGGCAGATGTGGGCCAGACAGATGCAGAGTGAGGGAGAGTGGGGTGACACGGGGCCAGATGCGGAGCAGCAGGGCCTGACACACAGTGGAACAGGGCCTGACACACAGTGACAGTGCAGGAACAGGAGTGGGGCATGACATGGAGAGGTGGCTGGGGGGAGTGAGTCCTGATATGGAGGATGTTGGGTGGCATGGGTCCAGATGTGGAGCAGCAGGAGGGGTGGAATAGGGCCTGATGTGGGGGGGGGAGAAGGGAGGGAGGGTTGGCACAGGACCAGACACAAAGTGATGCAGGGGGCAGGGCCTGATGTGGAGTGGGGGGGGGGGGAGTGTGGCCAGATGTGGAGCGGTGGGGGTGGGGTGCAAGGCCGTGGGGTCAGATGCAGGGCTCTGTTCGCGCCCACCCCTACCCTCCACCATTCTTGATGGGCAATTTGCTAATGACGAAACTAAATGTAAAGGAAATTTTTGTTTTTATTTACCATTACAAAATGGTTGCAAGTAGGGGAGGATCTTAGAGAAGCACCCCACTTTGATACTTGGTCTACCTAAATTTTAAAACCAAACATCTTAGATGGGCTGTAGCAGATCTTTTCAAACAGCACTGAGGCTATCAATTGACTTCATGGTTTACAATAATCTAGCTGGTTCCTGTTAGTTTTTCTTCATTCTATAGGTGTTAATGACCCTCTCTGCTTGTTAATGATCTTAATATTCCACTCTTCAAACTAGGCAGAC